AACAATAAATCAAAAAATCAACCGGGCATGGTAGCGCATGCCTATAATTCCGGCTACTCGGAAGGCTGAGGTGGAAAGATCGCCGGAGCCCAGCAGGTCGAGGCTGCAGTGGCTGGGAGCGGCCACTGCACTCCAGTCTGGGTGACATGAGACTCCAACTCAAAAAAAAAAAAAAAAATTCTTTCTCAAGGCAACAGACAGCAGGCCTGAGTCCGGTCCTGGTATAACTCTCACATCTCTTCTCTCAGTCTCTCACTGCCATTTGAATCCAGTCAATCAAACCCTGAGGTGTCATCCTCCCCGACTCTCCCTGCAGCCCTGCCCAGGCATATCTGAAATGTTTTTTGGTTCAGTACTAGAGCCTTGTGGACTGGGGGGAAAACCCAGCAGGTACAAGACCCATGACGGGCTCTCATCACCATCATATGACAAAGTCTGGCAGGTTGGGCAGGGCTGGGCCCGGCACCGGCAGGAGGAACCGAACCCTACTCTTCCACAGGGCTGGCCGGGACAGGGGGAAGGGGCTGAGGGGGTGACTACGAGCTGGGGCAGAGTAGAAAAGGAGACAGAAGGTCCAAGCTGTGCCGCCTAGGCGTGGGCGAACAGCTGGATTGAAGCTGGGAGCCTCGGAGAGGCCTCGGCCAGGGCGGGGCTTGTAAATCTGCCTCTGTGGAGGGACCCGCAGAGCTGCTCCAAGCAGCAGCGGGACAGGTGTGGGAGGGCACGGTGCTCTTTACAAGGCCACAGAAGTCCAGCCAGAATGTTTCGCTCTCAAAGTCAAATAGAATGTTCCTAGGCTAGCCACATAGTGAGAGGTCGTTTCTACAAAAAAGTGAAAAGATTAGTTGGGTATGGTGGTGCGTGCCTGCAGCGCACTGCTTGGAAGGCTGAGGCAGATGGAATGCCTGAGCCCAGGAGCTTGAGGCTGTGGTGAGGCATGACCGTGCCACCGCACTCCAGCCTGGGAGACAGAGCCGATGACTTAAAGACAAACAAAAATCTGGGCTCAGTGGCTCAGCCTGTAATCCCACACCTTTGGGAGGCTGAGGTGAGTGGATTGCCTGAACCTGCGGGTTCAAGACCCACCTGG